TTGATGATCAATTCCAGCAATTGTGGGGGGAACAACAGGAGAGGGCATCGCACCAAACAAGAAAGTGAGCAGCGGCTTTGGCCGCTGCAATTGACGCCACCGGAGAAGGAAGCAGACGGCGGCCAACCACGGCTCGCCGGCGTTCGACGATGGTCGGCGGTGATAGGTCAGGCGGTCCCTTCAAGCTCCAATTCTACAAGTTTTCTTCATCTTCTTCAACAATTGGTAACCCTATATTTGTCAATTTCTTTTTCTTCTCCAATTTCTTTGTAAAAGTGTTGTTTCAATGCAAATTTACATTTTTTCCTTTGTTGTGTGAATTTCAAAAATTCCAAAATGTTTGGCGTTCTTTTATGGGTTTTTTATGTTATACGGAGTATTAAATCCCTTATGAATGAAAATTGCTTCCTACTAGTTTCTTCAATTTTTGCGCAAATTGATGTTAAATTGGTTGAATTATAAATTTGATTTCGAAAGTAGGTTGGTATGTCGAATTCGGTTATCATTGAAGCTAATTTAGCTACATATTTTAGTTAAGTGATTCTCGAATTCATACGTGAATCTTTTTTGTGACTTGTGTTTTGTAAAATTTTAAGGTAAATGAACTTCTTAGCCACATAAGTTGAACGTTTTCCTTAAGATTCGTTATAGAGTGATTGTTTATGTCTTGGTGTTTTTGTTTGTTATTTTCATAAAAATTGGGATTATTTAAGCGCAATAAACAACTCTTGATTTAATGAAAATATGTAATATTCTTTTATGTAAATAGAATACAATTCTTATGTTTGAGTAGTTCAAGGAGACCAGCAAAATATTTTCATCATTAGACGTTAAAGTTTATTTAAGTGTATCAAATGTTATTCAAGAATACTTTGTGCATGTGAGTTAGATTGAAAGAAAGATTCGCTCTTTTATAAATTTTTTCATCTTTTGGAATCATTATTTGAACGCTTGAGGTGAGTGGGAGTTCAAAGTAACCAAAAGGCCTTTGAATCTTTGACTCCGGACCTTATAGAGAGTTGACAATCCTCTATATGTGGTCAAGGATATGAATCAATTCGAGGCTTTGAATTCTTTTTTATTTTTAAGTGCGTAAGTTATGTAATATGGAGTATATTGTTTACGTGCCTTTTATATGTGTAATGTTCGTTTTGTGTTCGTTCTCTTTTTAATTTTGTTTTGGGTTTTTGGCGGTGTTTCTTGGGTTACCTAAGTTTGAAAAGTTGATTATCTTTTGAGATTGTTTCCCCATATTATCAAAAAACCAAAAAAAAAAAGAAGAAAATACATAAAAACCAAAAATATTTACTTTTCATTCAACCCCCCTTTTGTGTTTTAAGTTATTATAAATATAAGTTTTTATACTTTTTTAGTATATCTTAAGTATATGTTTTATGTTTATAAGTTATATTATAAGTTCTTTGTTTATATAAGTTATATTTATATGTTTTTAGTTATAAGTTTTATTATAAGTTTTATAAGTTCTTATCATATGTGTAGTTTTTTTATTTTATTTCGTGACAATGTGTGTGCATGCTTAAATGATTTCAAAAGTACAAATTTTCTCCGTGGGATCGATCCTTACTTGCCCTAGCTATAGTTTTTATTTGATTATATTTTGGGGGTTAGTTAAGGATATTTTATAAATTTTTAATTTGTTTTGTACCACACGACAAATCCCCAACAGATAATGACTAGTGGCACTACATTGTAAAATAAAAATATATGGTACGATGCTACATTCGAAAAATCATTAACTATGTTTTAAGTACCATTTAGGTAAATTCTTCTAAAATAAAACATTCTTATTATTTCTTGTTTTGTAAAACTTTCTATTACTTTTTTAAATATGAAAAATATATTTTTAAATTCTAAATCAATCTTAAAATAAAATGATTTGAAAAATTTTATATTTTTTTATTTAGCACAATATATTTGATGTCTGTTGTTGAAAGGATGGAGAATTTTATCTTTATTAAAAATACCCAATGGTTCTTATTACAATGGAAACAGGACACATACGATGTTTCGTTGGTAAAATTGATGATTTCTCTAATACCTTTGAGAAGAACAAATAATAATGATAATTTGTTTTGGGTCAGGTAGCCCCCTTTTAACACACTTTCTTGGATCTCTATCAAAGGTCCATACCCATGCGTCTAGGCCCCCAATTGACCATGTTCAAATGCCTTCTTCATCAACCTCACCAACCTCTTCATCTGATGCAGCCATCTCTATGTTCTTCCATCACTTATAAGTTCAGTCTGGACACCTTGGCTTATTTCAAGATCACACATAACTATATTTAGGCTTACACATTGAAAGAATTTGATGAATCAAAGTGCTTAAATGAACGGTTCCAAAAATCAATTGTAGACAAATAGAGGAAGGACGGAGAGAGTATTTGCACTTCCTAAATATCTTACCATTTTCACTCCTACTACTCGAGTACTCGGTGAGAGATGTGTTTTGGGATCAATAATTATGAGTCATTGTTCCTCAAAAAAAGGGAAAAACGAAATTAGGGGGAAGGGTGAAAGTTTGCTATAAATAGGGCCAACCACTCAGACAAAACTCTAAATTGTAGTCTACCCGTTCACATCATAGCGTACTCTACCCGTTCACTACACATAAATAGGAGTACTCCCTCTTTAAGGGCGGTTTGTTTCATCCTCTTAATGGTTCAGATGTCTGAATGGTTAAGAGATTTGCCTCTGAATGGTTAAGTATTATATAGAGTCTGAATGGTTAAGACCTCTTATCTGAATTGATCAGACATTTGCCTCTGAATAGTTAAGCAATATACTAGCTCTTAATGGTTTAGACCTCTTACTGGTTCAGCACTTAATGGTTCAGACCTCTTACTGGTTCAGCACTTACCCATTCAGAATTTGCCAAACAGCCCCTAAATTATCTTTCTAGTTAGAGCACTGGTAATGGTCATGAAGCCCCGGGGCTTCAAACCGGGGCTTAAAAATTTCTCTCTCTGCACGTCAGCTTTAACTTACATCCAAAATTTACTGGAAATGGTTTTGAAGCTCCGGGGCTTCAAACTGGGGCTTCAAACCTTCATTTTTTACATTTTTAAATATATATCTTCTAAAATTAAATTAATAAATTTAAATTAATTTATTATTTAATTAAATTGAAACACGAATAATAAAAAAATACATTAATTAAATTAAAAAAGCGACAATAATTTTAAAAAAAAAAAGATACATTAATAAAAAAACTAAGGTAAATTATATTTCTCCTTGAACTCTCTCATTCTTTGTTCATAGATAATTCGTCTAAACTCCGACAACGTCCAAACTTTATTAACTGATACATTAATAAAAAAACTAAGGTAATTTATAAGGTAAATTATATTTCTCCTTGAACTCCAAACTCTCTCATTCTTTGAATAGAAAGAGAGTAATTTCGAATTTTAAAATGGAAAGAAAAAGAGATTGAGAAGAGAAAGTGTGAGAAATTGAGAGGGGGGGTTTGAATTTATAAGAAAAAAAATATTTTTTTTAAAAGGGGTGCAACGGCTATACAGCGGTTGGGAAGGGGAGGGGAGTGGAATGACGTCACGTCATTCCTTTGACGCAATGGCGATCACGCCCGATCACGGCCGGAGGGGGGCGGTGTTTAACGCCGCCGGGGCGTTAAACGCCCCTCACGCCGTGGGGCGTTGCGGGTATTACCAGTGCTCTTACACACTATTATTTACATGATCAAAATTTAATTACTCTTTTTATATCTATTTTCATTAGTTATTTAATAAAATAATATAGTTTTGTCATCTTTTGTTTTGTAGAAATTTTGATGTAATTTTAAATATATAAATTTTATTTTATAATTTTACAATTACAATCAAATAAGTTGAATGAAAATAAAGTCGGTCAAACCTCATAAACACAAACAAGAAAATAATTTTAGGACGGAGGGAGTATTTCTTTGAGTAATGCTAGAGTCACAAACTACAAAAACACAAATTACACAAACTTGCTATTTGTGTACTTTTCCAATGGAATAAAGTGATATTAAATACTTACAAAATGAAAATTGAGATACATAAATAGTAAGTTTGTGTAGTTGGTGTCACGGATATGTATTGCGTATTACCATAATGAAATATAATTTTGAAAGTTCTCAATACGATAAACTTAATAAAGTTATTTTTATGTTAAAATACATCATGATTTTTATTTAATTTAAGCTCAAAATTTGTTGAATTTGACTCAAAAAGGTCAAACTGGACAAATACACTGGGACGGAGGGAGTATAAATAAAATAATTTTAAAAATAAGATTTTATTTCTTAAATCATGTACTCCCTCTATCCGGAAATATTCATCTTCTCATTTGAACTTTTACGGTCTCCAAGATTGCACTTTGATCAATAATATATTTATTTATACATGAATATATTTTATTAAAATTTGACATTTGAAAATTATATTTCAAAATGAATATATTTATATTAAAGTTATATCGTAATATAATGTATTTTTTCCATATATCATAGTCAAGGTTTACAAACTTTAACAAAAAAAAGTATATTTTCGGTGAAATGGAATACTAATTTGTAAACTTTTCAGCACTTATTTTGTTGAACTTTTGATATAGTTTTTAAATATGTATGTTTTTATATTTCTATACTAATATTTAAATAAAATAAATTAAAAAAAACTTGGGTTTTTTCTTTGTTTTATGTAACGGGAAAAAAAAGATAGAAGGAGGGATTAGTAATTTGTAAACAAATTCATTGCGTGTGTATGGAAGAATTCTTTGGGGACCAATAATTTAGGGGAGTCGTCATTATTCCTCAAAAAAAGAAAAAGAAAATTACGGGGAAGGGTGAAAGTTTGCCTTAACTAGGGCCAACCACTCTGACACAACCCTAAATTGTACTCTAACCCGTTCACATACACAACCCTAAAAAAGCCCGTTCACATACCCACCGCTTCCTACATTCACCACCATATATAGTATTCCTATACATACCAACAAGGGGGCGCTGGATTTTGTAAACCTTTGCCTTTCTCTTACTCTCTTTCATCCCCGATCTATCTTCTTATTTTATTTTATATATATTTTTTGGTTCGATGGATCATCCTCTTCTTCTTGCTCCATTCTCTAATCAGATCCAATCCTGGATTCACGATTTGGATGATCCTTTTTGATCTATTACTTTCTTCACTTGTGGATTATGTTTTATTATTGTTCAAACAAAGTTGTTTGTGTTTCTGATTTGACTTTTTTTTTTTTGATTTAGTTATGTGTTTGTTGCCTCTATGAGGTTGGATCTAACTCTCTTTCTATCTTGTTTTTCTCCATTCTTAAATTATTTATTTTTTCTCTCCTTAATTTAATCTGGAAATCAATGAATTTCTATGAATTTCTAAATCGTAAAGATTTATAAAATTTTATTTTTGTTTTTGGTTCGGAGTACGATTTAGGTTTATTTCAAAATTTAGTTTTGCTTTTTCAAATTTTTTAATCGAATTTTCATTTCTTCTTATATGTTATGGAGAATTTTTTCAAGGTTAAAACAATACTCCACCTATTTTTTTGCCTGTTTATTGATGCGGAGTATAACATAACATCTTTAGTTTTGTAGGCTTTTTATATGGCTTTTAAATACGGAGTAGTATATAATTTTATTTTTAAATTTACCTCATTTTTCATATATAATGATTTAAAAAATAAGTTTTGTCAAATATCTTCAAAATATTTTATATTCTAGGGTATCTTATTTAATTATTTCACTGTTTGGGCTTGCACACCCTTTGGTCTGTTTTCTTGGGCCTCTTACGAATTACATGAGGGGCCTTTATGCTCTTATTATTATTACTATTATTCTCGGGCTTATGCACTTTCGGCCTCGTAGATCTAATATAATTAAATCACCCTCAGGCCTGTATTTTTCTTTAGGACCTCTTAAAAATTATTCAATGAAAAACTACTACTGTTGTGCTTCCGGCCTGCCTTTTTGCTGTACCCGTTCAAAAATTACTGGATGAAAATGTTACTGGACCGGGTAGGTTTCCACTGTCACTCTGTAACTTTTGCTTCAAACCTTCTTCTCTCTATCACTGTTCTTTTTCTTGAAGCTTCTCTGATTTAATGGCAAGGTAAATTTTTCCACTCGTTATTTTTTTTTTCTTTTCTTTATCTCCTTATGATTATATAGGGTTCCTTTTGTTTAATATCTCTCTTATTTTAACCCATTTTTGTTTTTATTCCTGCAGGGTTTTTGAGTATGATAAGATACCAGATGGCAATTCTTTCACTCTTTCCTTGAATTCAGAATGTTCTATAGTTAGGGATGACTTCATAAGACTGGTACAGTTTCTTCAAACTCATTGCTCTTTCCTTGGAGCCAAATATTCTGGAATTTCAGAGGTGTATTGGAAACAAGGATTCCCCCTACTGGAAGTTAAATTGGTCCATAAAGAGTCCTCTTGTCGGGTTCTTATTCGTAAGTCTGACATATATGTGGTGGGTTACCATTTTGGGGGGTTTTTGGTATTTATTCAAGGATGCTCGAGTTTCTTTGTTGGGATGTAAAATTGCACAGGAATATTCTGGTTATAGCAGCAAGGCATTCAGCTTGGAATTGGGTGCTGCTTCTCTTGTTAAAGCCATTGATTTGTTGAATAGCGAAACTTCAATGGATAGGAAGGATGGTGCTGAGATTCTATTCATTCATTTGGGTGAGGCTGCAAGGTTCAGGCCTGTCAGGGATCAAAATGGATGGATTCAAATGTGGTGATGAAGCTCCAAATCCTGATGAAGATGCCCTCTTTGAATGGGCAGTAGGTAGTTCTGCTCGAGATGTTAGTAGCTTGGGAGGTGTTTCATTTCCGGCTAACACACAACAATGTTACAAGGGTGTTAAGGTCTTTAAGGAAATGCAGGATTTGGTGCACTATTGGAAAACTCTTTCCAAAGCATGGTGTGTGTATTGTGCAACAGGTTCTGCAGATCACATGAATGAACCGGGGTTGTCTATTGTGCTGAAGAAGTGTGGGATTTGCAACCTCCGCTCTCTGAGGTTGAGACTCTGAAATCCCAGGCAAACAAGCTTCAACGAGACCGTTTTGATGCTATTTCTGCTCAAGTGACAAAGTGGAAGAAGAAGAGGGAAAATGCTCTTACCAACTATGCCATTTCTTGACTCTTGGTTATCTGGTCTTTTGTTGCATCTTTGCAAGATGTGTTGGAATCCTTGATCCTGAATTTCCTTGCGTCGATGGGCCTTCAACTTTTTTTTTTGTCATTGCTGCCCAGCACCATTCTCTGTTGTTTCTAAATATTTGTCTAATGAGATGATGTGTAATGGTACTAACCGTACTAATGTAGGATGATACTGAAATGTGCCCATCTTGAAAAATAGATGGTGTGATCTTTTATTCGTAGATTGATTTTTGTGTTCTGGGAGTTTTTGTTTGAATCTGTTTGGCTTTTTCTCAACACTTAATTTGCCCATCTTGAAAAATATATGGTGTGGCCTTTTAATCGTAGATTGATTTTTGTGTTCTTTGAATCTGTTTGACTTTTTCTCGACACTTGAATCCTTGTTTTTTGTATAAAAAATATCAAAATAATCTATACATCAAAATACATGATTTTAGTTGGTAAGAAATACTTATGTTACCTACTGTTTTGTAGTAATTGTTTACTTTTATTTATGTGGGTTATTTATTTAATTACATCCCATATAGTAAATAATTTATTTGAATATAATATACTTGTTAAATACTAGTAAATGCAATGTGTATAGAACTGGAGCAAGTGAAGTTTGGTTTCTAATACCCTAAAAATAACTGCAAACTTTTTTCTTGCCATATTTTTCTTCACTTCACTAATTGACTACCCGACAGAATTAATTACCTAGCCAAATTCACTACCTGGCTCACTAAATGTCTGAATTTAATTGCCAAACGTTTATTGGAATTGAGATTCATTGGAGATTTGGAGGTTCAAGTATCGCACATAGGTCATGTAGAAAGAAGAAATAGAGTTATCTGCCCTACTGAAATGCCTCGTAGTTTATAGTCTCCATACTTCCAGACATCACAGCTCATAGTCTAGATTGGATATGTGTCATCCTTCAGTTTTTTTTTCTTTTTATTGTTGCCCAGCACCATTTTCTCTTGTTTCTAGATACTCCATTTCTTGAATGAGATGATTTGTAATGATTTATTCTCTCTTATTCTTGAATATAATAGTATAATAGGTGGTGTGACCTTGGTATATTGATTGATTTTTAGTTGTGGGTTTATATCATTGAATCTGTGTGTGAAACGAAATAGATGAGTTGATGTGATTAGGTAGTGGGCCTGTTTGGTAAACAGAAGTGAAAGAATTGAAATTGAATTATAATTCTACAGAATCGATTTTAAAACATTTGAATACTCTAATATTTATTCATTTTTTGTATTGTTAATCCTAAATCCCCAATTATTTGTTTATGAAACAATAAAATTGATGATGACACATAGTATAGAGGATAACTATTTTTGTTTCAGTATATTTGTCTAATTTGATTTTTTTGAATTAAATTGTAATGAACTTTGAACCTTAATTATTCTTAATTTGTATTACATGTTAGTATAATAAGATAAAATTTTAAGTTTTGAACAATCATATTCTTAATTTGTATTGCATGTTAGTACAGTAAAATAAAATGATGAAACTTCTCATAAAAAAATTAATAAAATCATTTTCATACTACCGTAATATATATGACAATTTTTATTTAATTAAAGTTCAAAGTTTATTTTGTTTGATTCGAAGAAATCAAAGTGGTCAAGTACATACGGAGGGAGTATTTTACAAAAGAGTAAATTCCATAATTGGTCCTTTATAACAAGGGGGTTTCCATATTTAGTCCTATATTATCAAATATTATCCCCGTAGTCCTTTTTTTAAGGGCACTTTTCCACAAATGATCCTTTTTTTGATATTTTGTCGTGTTGGTGTTAATTTAAAGGCTAAAAATATAATTTGACGTCAACATTATGTCTAGTGACGTGTTCTGATATTGGTTAAACGGATAACACAAAAATAATGACTATGATTGTGGGCTAAGATTCTGACGAAAGATCACATTTGTAGACTATAGTTGTCATAAAAAGCGACTGTAATTCACAAACGACGCAAACGGAACAGCCTTTGGAAGTGTGTCTGACAAAAAAAAAGCGACTGTAATTCACAAACGATGCAAACGGAACAGCCTTTGGAATTGTGTCTGACAAAAAAGATATATTATCATTGTGAAATTACACTTTTAGCCCTCAAATTAACACCAATATGATAAAAGATCAAATAAAGGACTATTTGTGAAAAGGTACCCATAAAAGAAGGACTAATTGAGTAATATTTGATAATAGAGGACTAAATAAGGAAACCCCCTGTTATAAAGGACCAATTATAGAATTTATTCTTTACAAAATGATGATATCCAAAATTTGTTACGCGAAGTAAACTGGATTGAAGAACTTCAAACTAGTTTAGGAGTTAATAGTGGATACACAGAATAGCATATGTTTGGATAAGAGAGGACAATGCACAATAAACACATTATGTAAATATCTGGTCTGGTTGTCGCACAATGTCATAATTTAATAAATACACAAATTAGGCCTTTTATGCAAAGGTCATATTGCGATTGCAACCCATCCATAAATACCACCATGCAAAAGGTCTCTAACTGCAATTGCTATTGCAGCCCATCCATAAATGCCACCCTGCAAAGGTTTTGGTTTTTATACTTCGAATCGATTAGAGCAGCAAAGTTAGAAGGGTATCGAAGTAGGGTGGCTCAGAATGGCGACATCAGTAGGCATTGATCCGAAAGCATAGTCGCACGCCTGCAAATGTAAAGAATAGCTCACCAAACAGTGATGACAAAAATCATCAAGAGCAAACCAAATACATTGTACAATGAAACATGATTCTTTATCTTGCATTTTCCAAGATTACTGTTACTGCTTTGTCATCAAAATAATGCTTTAGTCAAAATACAGACAGATGAGAGCCAGCCAATTCATTTACCTCGGCTTCATCTAAATCCCTCACTCCGTTGCGCTGATCAGGTTATTTACGCTTGACGCTTGAAAAGGCAAAAAATTGAATTAGCAACAAAGAGTTATCCTCAGAGGTTTATTACTTTATTCACAGCCCAACAAATCATTACCTCAATTGTTTTCTACCAAAAGCAAAAAAGGTAACAAACAAGTGCATCTATACCTATATTTAATTTTTAAATACAAAAAAAAAACAACCCTAGTATAATCCCAACTCAATGAGGTCTTAAGAGTCAAGAAGTTTGCAACCCTAATTCACTTGATGGTCGGAAGTTCATAAAATGTAAGTAAACAAAAAAGAATTTCAGATGATAGTAATGAAATGACTGTCAAGACTCAAGATTTGCCGATCCTGCAAAATGTTACATTGTTTTTATCCATCAAGTTCTCACAGGTGGAAAAAAAATTCCATTTCACCTTCTCTACTGTTGAGTACAGCGATTGAGGTTTAAAGATAATTGTGGAATGATTGAATACATCAAACTCGTTTATTTTAATTATTATTTTATTCCACGTCATTTTATATATTTCACACTCTTCGGTTGTTAGACTTCATTTTGCATGTGCATATATATTATCATTGAAAGAAGAATTACCCTGTCTTCTTCTGATTCACTCCATCCATCCTGCAACCCTGAATCAACAATAATGATAACATCAAAAGCAAACCCAATATATTGTGTAACAAATCGGGATTCTTTATCTTGGATTTTTCCAAGATTATTGTTATCACATAGCCATCAAATAAATGCTTCTAAATCAAAATATACATAGACTAAGAGAGCCAACCAATTGTGTTTGAGAACTGTAATTTGTTGGATGAACAACTCAGAAGTTAGGACCTTCTAACAAAAATACTCCCAAAACACTCCTATAACATATATCGCACAATAATACTACCAAGCGATAATCTCACAATCTGTGTCAATAAAAATGCTCCAAAGATTATGCAGTTTATGCTCTATCATGAGTATACTGATTCGGCTCTTTGTCTGCACCAAGTTTATACCACCGCATTGATGAATGATGAATCTCCCATTAGTTAGGACATGAGTTATCCCTACTTTTCTCTCTTCAGGTATCCTTTATGTATCTCCCATTTTCATTTAATTCCTAAACAACTATCAACCACACAATTTGAATTTCTAAAGATTCATGTAAAGTCGAAGAGGGAAAATTAAAAAAAAAATACAAATGAATACTCTGCAATTTGGACCGTCTTACAATAACACTCAGAACTAACATGTAAAAAATGCTCGGAAGATGTGGCCGCACCTGTGGGGTGTCACAAATGAAATATCCAAAACAGCATAGATGTAATGAAAGCATGAACTTTGCTATCATTGAAGCTTTTTTGTGACATGGGTTATCTCATGAGAGTATTCTTGTGCAATATTTATTCTAGAAGTGTGCAAGACAGTCCACACTTGGGAGTACTCGTGTACATTTTTCATTAATTTTTATTACTCATGCTATTTATCTTCACTGCATTATGTTTTATAATTTTATGACTAAATACATGTTGGACTTCTTTTTGCAAAAAATTATTGTAATTAAAGAATGAAATACCATGTCTTTGACCAGTCCACCCAACCCATAGCGCAATCCTGCATCAACAATAAAGATAAAAGCATCAACCGCAAACCCAATATGTTGGGCAATGAATCATGATTCCTTAACTTGCATGATTCAATATTATTGTTATCGCTTTGTCGTCAAAATACGGCTTCTTAATTAGTCAAAATACAGACAGACCATGTCTCACGGAGAGCAGACCAAGCCTCAAGAGGGTGCTTGTATTAGACACTTTATTCATTTCATGTCCAAAACTTCTTTGAACATAAGAAGCAACACCAACATTTCGGAAGCACTTTTACATAAAAAGTTCCGCTAGTTACCTTGTACAGCTACTTTAAAAAAAATCGTCAATCAATGGTCATAGGCATCATTGAATGCTACATTTGTTCTAGACTATGTGAAAAAATATGAGGCAATTTTATTTGCGTAAAATGAAATATTTGGTAAGGGTAATCAAATGAAAATGTTTCACAATTGTAATCATTATGGTTGAATTCTTTGAATTGTTTATTCTTAGAATTGTAACCATCGTAATCGTTATGGTTGGAAGTACTCCACAGGGCTATAAGAGTCTCCTCAATTGACCTACACTAAACAAATCAATTTGGTAATTCAACTCAATGTCTTAGTATTCTATCACTTTTTATTAAATAATCAAATGCAGGACCCAACGACTTGAGAGACCAGGCATATACTGCTTTGGTTTGGGACATATTCTTATAAACCAAATAACTGAATCTAAAAAGCAAAGTACAACAAACAAATATACAAGTACTTACCTTCACTCCAAGTCAACTTCATCTCAACTTCATAATCATTTGTCTCTGTTTTAAAGGTGCGATGTCCAATCTCGAACGTTCCTGTGCATGATTGAAAATCTTTCATAGACATGCCACAAAAATCGACTTCAATAATGAGTGACGAATCCATTGGCACCGCAACAACACTTCGAGAAAGTGGCACTTTCCCATCATTCTCTAATGGTACTGGATCCTTCTCAGCCCTTTTGAAAAGCACGCTCCTAAAATAGTCTTTCTTGAACTTAGTTGAGTAGTCAAAGTTGCTATAATGCGCAATTGCAGTTCCATAGATCATCTCAAGTCCGGAACGAAAACTCTTACACTTCAAAATGATCTCAATGTTTGCTAGACAAGCTCTTGGGAACAAGGAGTAATGCAACGCACAAAACCCATCTCTGCCCGGGAAAACAGAACATATATGGGTGTTATACCATAAATCATGGTTTCCAAATCCAAGCTCATAAGTAGCAAAACCTCTATTCTGAAATTTCCCACAAACATCTTCCAGATTGACCTTCAATTCGAGCATGCCATAATCATCAAAACTCACACATGTAACGTTCAATGGTAAAACTTTCTGTGAATCTTCTATATCCGCACCATCATTACTATTACTCTTGAATAAGTAGTGGGTATAATTATTATTGATAGATACTTCAACAGTGCCAAAAATGTTCAATGCCGCCATTTTTTTACGGCCGATAAAAATTGAGTAGAATTCTACTAATTTTGATGGTTTCAGTATACTTTCTCCGCCTTGATCATGAGACCTAATTAAAAAAATTAATTTATAAACCAATAATCACTTTAAAGTGGCTAGCCTGATATATTGAAAGAGCACAAAAGGAAGAATCACACACCAGAGGTTGCCATTGTTCAATGATGACGATTCCAACATAAACTGAATAGAAATGACAAAATGTTAGATAAAGAGTGATGTAGAATTAAACACATCAAACTAACGCAATGCTCTCTTAAAGTAATTTGTAGCCTATTTACAATAAATATGTAGTGTTAGTAATAGAAAACAAGATGAACATGATATAAAATGAAATTTTTAGCAAAAAAAGCAAACCCATATTTAATCCCAACTCCGTTAGGATCTAAGGGTCTAGAGGTGCACAATCTACCCTTATCAACAGAGAGGCCATAGATGTTCGACCCATAATACATATAATAGTCCCTCCGTCCCAATTTAGCAAAATCTCATATCTTTTAAAACGATTTTATTTACAAATTGGTACCTCCTATAAAATTTAAAAGTACAAATTACACCGTTCAAAATTAAATCAAAAGCTCAACAAACCAAGAGATGAGAATAAAATTTTATTTTTATCAAATGATCAATGAAAACACGCATACAAACACACAAGTTTTGGGACGGAGGAAGTATTTGTATTACTCCAATATTTATATTGAGTGTATAGTGTTTTATAATTTAGTGGTTCAAGCCATGTTGGAATTCTTTTGCAAAGAGCTATTACCTCCACCAGAGAACAGAGTTTCTTATGATTGTTAGAATCACTCCACCCACTGTGCCCAGCCAAAGGGAACGTAAACAATGCTGCATCCACAACAATGGCAAAATCATCCACAGCCACTGCATATTCACCTGCATGCATACCATTCTCACCCAACAACTCTACTCTACGAGTAAGTTTTTTGTTTGTGTCGATGTCCCTCAAGTCTAGATCAAGTTCAAGTGACGAATATGCTGGCAACCCCAGCCATGCTCTCGACATACCAAGTTTGCGATTCATCTTTACTGGTTCAAACTCATTCTGCTTCTCAAAAAGAATGCACGGTTCTGAAGTATAGTTTCCACAAGTGTTCTTATATCGTGCAACTATTTTTCCAGCAATATTAACAACTCCGCCCATGTCTTTGCTAGATGGCCGAACAGACACTTGGCAAAGAACAGCAAATGGCATAGCAATATAAACCAAGGTGGCAGAGCACACTTCATGGTGGAATTGTTTTGATCTTACTTCTTCCATATCACCTTCAGTTGTATCACCCACCAGAATATCCTCTTTAGCAAACGGAAAAACTTTACCTCCAATTTTGAGATAGAGATCCACTTCTATAGTTGTTCCGCTCAATTTCATCCATAAATCATCATAATTAAGAAGAGATTCAGGCACCCCAATAGTTAAATTACCACCACTTGAGCTAATGTTGTCAGCATCCTTGGCACTTCGGTTGTAAATGTCAAGCTCCATTCGTTCTCCACTCCTGATGTTTTCATAGCTAACCCGAATCGTACCATATACAGCGAGTTGTCGCTTTTTGAGTCCTTTTTTTGGTTGTACATGTATTGAATGCACATTAAGTAAAGGGCCAGCTTCAACATGTTTTCTTCCTTTTACCATTTCGTTTACTCGCGAGTTACTGATACGACTAAGAGAATAATCTAACATCCCGAGAATGTCAGTATTGACATAAGATCTTGCCATACTTGGGCCACTAGCGAGGACACGGTTCACCACATCTTGTCGTGAGGCATTGGGGTAAGCTTTTAGAAGCTTCATGACATTATCAATTGTAACAGAGGGGTAATCTTTTAGAAGCTTCATGGAATCCATAACGCAAAGAAAGATTAACTGCAGTATATTAGGTTAAAATATGAAATAAGAGATCTGATAACACCCAAAAAGAATGAAGCTTGAAATAAAGTGTGTAACCATCTCAGACAACCATCATAGATTAAATTGCCACGATATGAAATCCGACATGATATCCCCATTGCTTAATCTACCACTAAATGAAATTAAACATAAATCTTTTATTTAATCAAAATTAAACATAGACCTAGTAATAATCTGACCAATTACCCCCCCCCCTGCGCAAAGGGTGATACATCCCTAGATGGCTCCAATGAAAATCACCACCCGCAAAATATCCAAAAAGTATTTCATCTCTTCTTGTTAATCAAATTAAGGTCTTTCCCGCCCACTTTTAAGCCTTGGCCAAAAATGAGACCAAAGAAGACAAACGAAATCCTTTAAAAGTCTTCCATTTAGCCACCTATTGTTCTCTTGTATTTTCCTACCCATTTGGCTGAAAAATTCCCATCATAATTTCTCAAGGATGTCATTTTACACGCAAGATCAAATCATCCCCCCTCTCCTTCATGTGGCCGAAAATCAAGAAAGAAGAAGTCCACAAATGAAAAGTTGTCAGTTTGTCAAAATACATAGGACCAAACCTCTCTAATAACACCAAAAAATTATTGATCTTGTAATCCATACACCATAAATGATCAGCCAAATCCTCTCCATAAAATATTTTCCACATCAAAACAAATATACCAAAAATGTCCTTGAATAAAGTGAACAAGTGGCGTGTCATTTAGCATAAAAGTCTTCTAACACTTTCATTGTATTTTCTTTAAAAAATGAGCTAATGTCCCCATTAAATATTGAGCCCCGCGTGTAATTAGTCATGGTTTGGGCCACCATTTGCTTTAAGTTTTTATCTTTTATTCATTGGTGTTGTGTCCTTAAGCCTATATAAGTTCGGCCATACCCATTGTAATAGATAACTTGATCTTAATCGAAAAAATTGTTTTACACTTTGAGCCATTCTTAAAAAACACCAACTTGGCTTATCCCTACTGATTTTTACTCTTCCATTTTCGTGCATCGCCATTTCTCCCCAAAACCCAATCTTTTCTTTCATAAAAAACCAAAAAGAATTCAACACCTCCTATATTTTTGACCCATATTGCTTCCCACTCAATTTCCTCCTCAAATCCATCATTTATTATGATAAGACCCCTGGTTCAAATATAACAGAGAGAAATAGGGGCGACCAACAAATGGTGTTTTCAATAAAGGCTACGAAGAAAAGTTGGTAGCTTATTGTTTTTCAATGAAGTATATGCGAAAAAGCATCAATCATCAAACATAAAACCCACAAAAATTATGAAATCAAACATAAATTTCTTTTAACCAAAATCAAACACAAACCTAGTTGTCATTATCCCACGAATAACAATACTAATTCAAGGGCTAGGTATACCTGGTACGAACGGAAATAGCCGCAACCAGCGAATGATTTTTCAATATAGGCTGCAAAGAGAAGTTGGGAGCCAACGATTGTTCAAGACGGTGTCTGTCTGTCTAGGTGAAGAGTAAAACGAATGCCGTACCCAAAGTTAGATTCGAGTCGGGCCGTGTCTGGGGAGAAGAGAAGTACTCCTATATACTATCCCATTTTATAAAGCCTCGGTTTTATTGTTTCAAGATGTTTGACTGAAGTTATTTTCAAATCATTTTATATGAGAAATGGTATAGAGTCAAAAAATAAAAATTAGATATCAAAATATTACATCAAAAGATCTACAAAACTAGTAGTGACAACAATATTTTATTTTATCAAATTGCTAACGAAAGTAGAGAAAGAAAGTGAATGAAGTTTGACCCTGTAAATAGTGAACATACATTATAATTTGGGACGGAGGGAGTATAAAATAAGGAGTACTACTTATTTTCTAGTTCATTTGAAATAACGTACTATTCATTCTAAAATAACATAGTATTCATTTTGGAATAACTAAATATTCATCTTCATACGATTTTTAAATATAATTATAATATTTATTTACGAATAATGAAATACTCATCTTCAAATTCTTAGTTTCCGGAAAAGAACCGCAGAGCTGCTGCAGTCACGAAGGAGGGGGGGAACAAGGTTCAGGAGACAGAGGAGATGAACATGTTTATGCCGGATGTACAGAAAGAACAGTACATCCGGATATACAATATAATTTGCCGGGAGGAGGGGAGTGTTGGGCTTTTTTTGACAATGATGGGTTTGGGCTCCAACCCAATTTCAATTTCTTCCTTTCAAACTTGAGCTCTGATTTGGCCTTTTGCTACACTTTTCACCAAAAAATAAGATACGGAGTATCTGATAATTTTGGGTTAACAAAAAAATAAAATAATAAAATGTAAAAAAAGATTAAAAACCACTATTCATGAAAAAAATTAAAAGATTGTAAAAATGAGAGTTAAAATAAAACTAAGCAAAAAAACTAAAAATTAAACATTAAAAATATTAAAAATGCCTAAAAATAAATAAAAAAGAACCAATGCAAAACCGACTTATCAGTTACCAAATAAAGGAGTGAATTATAATACGAGTAATAGTATTCTACCAATGATTTAATTATATTAAATAAAATATTCCAATTCAATTTATATGTACCAAACAAAACCTGATGGTCTGTGTGATATGTAGAATTAAAATTGGATTGAGAGTTGAAATTTTATGTATTTTCTTTGGATGAAATTGAATTCTTCAATTGCATTTCATTTTTGGCACTACCATTTCTAATTTACATATTTTTGAAATTTGGCAAATTATTTTATACATCCGATTGTACCTATTTTTGGGTACAACAAAAAAATTATTTATGGTATGGATTTTATTTTACATGAGAATGAATATTAAGCTATTTGAGAATGAGTACTGTTTTGTTACCAGAATGAACATTACAATGTTTATAGATGAATATTATAATTGTATTGAACCAATGTGTGAAAATGAGTACTACATTATTTTAGAATGAGTACCACGCTAATTATATTAGTACTACGAGGATGTACCTTTTTCTATAGGTACATTCCTTTGTAGTCACTCTGTTACAGTGTATTTGTCCAGTTTGACTTTTTCGAGTCAAACTGGACAAACTTTGAGCTTCAATTAAATAAAAATCGTAATGTATTTTAACATAAAAATGAATTTATTAGATTTATCGTATTGAAAACTTTTAAAATTGTATTTCATTATGCTAACATGCAATATAAATTGACAGTAATTAGAGCTCAAAGTTTGTCTAGTTTGATTCGAAAAAGTCAAACTCGACCAGTTCATTTACTACCCTATACCTTCTCCCCTCCAGCCGACGCCGCGTGTTCCAGAGCTATCTCATGTTCAATCCTCCAATCCCGTTCCTTCATCATCCTCGTCCTGCTCTCTCAATTGCCCTCACTTTCAGATGTAAGCATTCGAGTTGGAGTGTCTTTGTAGGTCTATGAAAGGTTCATTTCTTATTGACGAGTTGGAGTGTTCTGTTTGTACTCAAGAGTTTAATCTCCACCGTCCAATACTGATTGACGAAGCTGCGAACTTCTTCAAGAAGCTTGAGGTCACCGATTTCACCTTCCACAGTTGCAGATTGGTGCTTGATTCGGGCTTCTCTGTTTTCATTATCATATTTAGCAGAGTAAATTAGTCTTTAAGGAAAATGATTTTCCAAAGGAAAAAAAATCTACTCCCTCCAATTCTAAAAATCTTTCCTGTTTTTGACTTTTTTTAGTCAAATAGTGACCATCTTTGACCATAAATTATGAGAAAAATATATTTAATTATAATATAAGTTCAATATAATTGGATTCATCTTAGGGCCTGTTCTTTAGTACTGGAAAAAAAGAGCTGGAATCTGGAAGAAACTGGAAGAAACTGGAAGGAACTGGAAAAAACTGGAAGGAACTGGAAGAACTGGAAGAAACTGGAAGAAACTAGAAGAAACTGGAAGGAACTGGAAAAAACTGGAAGAAACTGGAAGAAACTGGAAAAAATTAAAAGAAATTGAAAAAACTAGAATAAATTGTAAAATCTAAAAAAAATTAAAAAAAATTTATGTGTGGTTTTAAATTATTCTCATTCTGATTCTTGTTGATATAAATTATAATTATTACTATTATTATAATAATTATTATTATTTTTATTGTTGTTGTTGTTGTTGTTAGTGGTGGTGGTGTTATCACGTTATCTAAATGATTATATTTAAAATAAAAAAATATTACAAATATTATTTTTCATAATAAAAAGATAGTTTAAAAAATTAATTAGAATATAAAATTAGCATAAATATCAAAAATGTTAAAAAGTTAAGAGTTATTATGGCTATGCTGTATTTATTACGAAGTATAAAATAATATATTTATATTTGTAATTATATTTTATATAGTACAAGATTTTGTTTTAAATATCTGACATGTCACATAATGTAATCAAACTAATTTTTTCTTTAAGGATTGACAATTTATTTCCATTGTAACCCTACTTTTTGAATAAAAACGTAGAACTGTTTTTTTACATTTTTTATGTTATATTCTTACATTAGTCATTTTTTCTAAAGTATTTTGAATTTTATTTTTTTTATAAAAATTAGGAAAATAGAAAACAAAACTAATTTTTGAAATAAATAAAAATGAGAATGAAATGAGTAATAAATACCAACTAAATGAGTCTTTTTCCCCACTTCTTTTTTCGTTTCCCTCCTTTTTGTATATTGTTGGAAGAATTTGAATAAAATAAATATAGTTGGAAGAAATTAGAAACTGGAAAAAACTGGAAGAAACTGGAACAAACTGGAAGAAACTGGAAGAAAGTGGAAGAACGGGAAGAAACTGGAAGAAACTGGAAGAAACTGGAAGAAACTAGAAAAAACTAGAAAGAACTGGAAGAAACTGGAAAGAACTGGAAGTTAAGAGTTCAAGTCCTAAAGAACAGGCCCTTAGTGTATTGTTTTGATATATCAAATTTTTATACAGTATATTTTTTAAAATAGTAAACTATAATCTCTTTAATCACTTCTCGCATGATGACTCTAAATTTTAAGACTTTAATTTTCCAAAAAAAAAAAACAGATTTTTCTTGAAGGAATGGACCAATAGAATTATCTACTAGGGCTGTTCATGTTTAGGTCAGACCGAAAAAACCGACAGAACCGGACCGATAGGTCCAGACCGAACCCGGACCGAATAAATTTCGGGTCGATCTTCGGTCCAGCTTTTTAAAAAATTCGGGTTTCGGTCCGGTCCGGTCCAAACCCGATTGCCATTCGGTCCGGATCGAGAAGACCGAAATTATCCATTTACTCTGTACTTTTGTTTTTGACCAGACATTTCCACTGTCCCTTCCGTTTACTCCGTTTTCCTCTTGAGTTTGTAGATCTAATTTCATCTCTCTCTATATTTATTTTTTTCCTTTTTAAAGATTAGTAGCCTCTTCCATCTCCCTCTCCGTCAATCCGTCGTCTTCTTCCTACAATCTCCGGATTTAGTCACTGCGCAACCACATCAGTCTCCCACCATGGCGCCGGCTTCAGACGGCAATAAGCGGAGCAGCGCGGCGCAACCACATCAGTCTCCCACCATTGCCTATCTCTTTAGTGTGCCGATGCCGGAAAATAATAGAGCAGCGGCAAACTATTGGGTGGATTATAGTCAATTAGTCATTCGGTAATCCCTTTTTGATATTCTTTAAAATTAATTTCACTTTATTTAAAACTTATCCATCCCTCAATTTTTTAATCCATATCTCAATTTTTTACAGTAAATTGTAAAAATTTGTATACAAATCAAAATTAGACTCTGGATTGTGAAACGCAAGATATTACATCTGAAAATGAAACCTAAACTCTAGGGAGCCTTTTCAGAAGCTTTGGTTTTGTCGGTCCTTTCGGTCTGAATAGGTTTGGTCTGTAATATTTCGGTCTGGTCCGGTCCGGTCCAAGACCGAATACATTTAGGTCCGGTCTTCGGTCTGAGTTTTAGTCTAAATCGGTCTTCGGTCCGGTCCGGTCCTGTCCGGTTTTAGACCGATGAACACCTTTATTATCTACAAGCATTTTTTGTCTAAATATGCGGGCGCTTTATAAGAGTGCCCTAAAAAAGGTTTCTCTTATAAAAATGTCCAAAAAAGGTTTGATATTATGAGACTATCCTCTATCTACCCTCACTGAAAAGCACGAAAAATTAGCATGTGAGATTCCCAAATTACCCCTATTCTTCGGAAGCCATTGTCGAAAGAATCTAATTACGTTCCACAGCCGTTTAACGATTTCCCCCCTTTTTTGACCCGCCCCGAAATTAACTATTCCAGTTTTCCCCCTTTTTTGACCCGACCCGAAATTAACGATTTCATGCCTTTCAGCTCCTCAATCGTATGCACACTACACATTTGTTCTGCAAATCGGCAACCTAATTTGAAAGCACAGCAAAACGATAAGATTTGGGAACGCGTTTAGAAGCTATTGCGTAGCGCTGAAGGAGGAAAAAGAGCAGAAAGAGATTACGGTAAACCCTAATTTTCGATACCCCAAAACTTGATTACAATTTACAAACCCTAATTTTTCTTTACACTAAAGAGTTATGAATTTTTTTGTTTAGCTCTCCTAAACATCCTTTCTTCTTCGCTATTTCGTAGCGCAGAAGAAGGAAAAAGAGCAGAAAGAG